CCGTGCCTTGTAATGAATGCAAGCAGTTCAACAATGACTGAGCACGTTCCTCTGTGAGGCGTGCTGTCTGTTCGACCGAATCCAACTCCATACCGAGAAAAGAGATCCTCTGCGTCGGGGAGAGTTTGCTCTTTTCCCAGTTGACCCGAAGGCCCAACAGGCTGAGGTACCTGAGCACCAAATCCCTGTGCTCGCACAACTGATCCCGAGACTGTGCTAGTATGAGTCAATCGTCGAGATAGTTGAGGATGCGAACACCCTGCTCTCTCAGGGGAACAAGAGCCCCCTCCGCAATTTTTGGCACTCTTGACGCTCTAGCTCGCTGGCGACAAAGGAGGATGAATGTGATCCAACCCTGGACCGTCCACAACTCTCCGAGCCCTCTTGGGGGACCCAGAGATAGAGGAATTTGCTCTTTTGTTGAGTGTTTGGCTACCATCGACCGAGAGGTCAGTGGCGGGATAAAACAAATCAAAAGATTCTCCGCCCGGCCCTCCTCCGGGGGAGGGAGTGGTGCGTTCACCATCTCCCGAAGAGCAACTCCCTCCATCTCTGGGTCACCCGTCTCAGGGCCTCTTGCTCTTCCGCTTACCGCCAGGTTTGGCGGGGGCTGAGACGGGCGGGGTGGATGCCCTGCGACCGGCTCCACGGCGCTGCTTAGCTGGAGGCTGCTGCGGCACAGGAGCGGGGGCGGCCTCGGCAAGGTGTGTGTCGCCCAGCAGTTCTCGGCTGCACAGAAGCAGACTGAGGTGATTCGACACATCCTGCCCCGGCGGGCAGCTGTTGCCTCCCCCCGTCCGCCATCCGCAGCTGCTCGCCGGGGCAGGATGTGTCGAATCACCTCAGTCTGCTTCTGTGCAGCCGAGAACTGCTAGGCGAAGCTCTCGACTGCGTCGCCAAAAAGGCCGGTCTGGGACACGGGGGCATTAAGGAACCGAACTTTGTCGGCGTCCCTCATGTTTGCCAGACACAGCCAGAGATGGCGCTCCTGGACCACAAACGTGGACATTGCACGACCCAGAGAACTCGCTGTGATCTTCATCGCTCAGAGCGCGAGGTCAGTTGCGGTTCGTAGTTCTTTTAGAACCTCCTGATCGTGACCACCCTCGTGCAGGTCCTTCAGTGCCTGAGCCTGGTGGACCTGCAGTAACACTATGGGTGCCTCTCCACAGGCCGCATAAGCACTGCCGGTCAGACCAGACGAGTGCTTACAGGCTCGGGAGGAAAGGTACGGTTTGCCCCGCCAGGTGGAAGTGGTACCAGGACACAACTGCATCGCTACCGACCGCTCCACCGGGTGGATCTCCGTATACCCTTTGGCTGCTCCACCATCGAGGGTGGTGAGGGAGGGAAAACTACCATAACCGTTTCTGGCAGTAAAAGGTGCCATCCACGACCTGGTGAGCTCCTCATGCACCTCCGGGAAGAATGGTACCGGAGTGGGGAGCTGAGATCCAGCAAGGGCCACCCCGAGAAACCAGTCATCCAACCTCGAGGGCTCGGGACACGGTGGAGGTTTCCACTCGAGCCCTACCCTCTCGGCGGCCCGGGAAAGCATAGCCATCATCTCTGGATCCGATTCAGGCCTTGCTACCATCCTGGAGGGCTTCCTCTCCAAAGAGGTCCGCCTCGCCCTCCGATGCAGCGATCGACATCCGATCGTCGGGAGGAGCCCCAAAGGATACGACTGGTACGCTCCTTATAGAGGGCGCAGCGCGCTCCTGAGAGGGCTCGACTGGCTGCGAAGTGCTAGAGGAGTGGCGGTCCCTGGGAGGGTGGTTCCTCGGAGGGGTTGCCGCCACTGTGACCCTCAAACCACCCGAGCTACTGCCTGAAGTAGTCCTCCCCTGACTTCTTCCAAAGAAGAGAACTAGATCGCGGCAGAGGTACTGGAGCTCCACCACTTTTGAGGTAATGGAGCCTGGTCCGCAACTCCGAGATGGTCATCTTCCCGCAATGAGAACATGACTCATCCACGAACGCCACTTCAGCGTGTTTAATGCCCAGGCACGTGAGCCAGCGATCGTGACCATCACCCGGCGCCAGGTAACGACCGCATGCAGAAACGCACGGGTGAAATGCCATCTTTAAAAAGACATTCACTCGTGAATGCTTTTTTAGGAGTGCTCTTTTAGTTGTGCTGAAGCACACAGGGGAGATGGCCGCCGCAACACTACAGGGGGTAGTGCAGCCTGTAGTTTGCACCCACTCAACAAAGGTCGACCAACCCGCTGTAGCGCCGTACCACCTGCACAAAGAAGCTCCTTTGAGTGTGCTGACTCCACAAACGAAGTAGTAGTCTGGAGCAGAACGAAACAACCACTCGGCTCCGAAGCGAAAAGCCTTAATATGCGGTGCATCTGCTGCCTATTTATACTCGCGCTGCAATCAGGGGCAGCTGGATGCAATCATCGCATGCCGATGTGCATTGGCTCATTTAGTTTACACTCGAAGTAGATTGGTCTCTCAAGCGAGATTCCCAATTCGTCGGTCACCGACGTGACGTCGAAAGTGACCGACTGAAAGGGAACTGCATTTTTACTCGTCTTATGTTATGACTAGTCCAAATGGATACTGTAGAATTCAATTAAAACATTTGCTAGTAAAATAAAAAATCTTACTAGTAACATTTCGAATAAGTACTAGTATCTATTGAATAAGTACTAGTATCTATTTAATAGGTACTAATATCTAATGAATGAGTATTAGTTTCTAATAAATAAGCACTAGTACCTAATGAATAAGTACTAGTATCTAATAAATAAGCACTAGGTATCTAATGGATAAGTAGGCCCTATACTAGTATCTAAGTTCAATCTTCCACTAGAAGATATAATCACTGGAATAACTTAAAGGGATACTCCACACAAAAAATTTACATTCTGTCATTATTTACTCACCCTCATGTGGCTTCAAACCCATGTCTTTCTTTTTCAAAACACAAAAGAAGATATTTTGAAGAACATTGAAAACCAAACAACTTTGATAAATAAGCACTAGTACCTAATGAATAAGTACTAGTATCTAAAAAAATAAGTACTAGTATCTAATGGATAAGTAGGCCCTATACTAGTATCTAAGTTCAATCTTCCACTAGAAGATATAATCACTGGAATAACTTAAAGGGATACTCCACACAAAAAATTTACATTCTGTCATTATTTACTCACCCTCATGTGGCTTCAAACCCATGTCTTTCTTTTTCAAAACACAAAAGAAGATATTTTGAAGAACATTGAAAACCAAACAACTTTGTTGCAAGAACATTTCTCAAAAGATCTTCTTGTATGTTCCCCAGACGAAAGAAAGCCATACAGTATTGAAAAAAACATCAAGGTAAGTAAATGATGACAAACTTTTGGGGTGGAGTAGTAGTTTTATACTTTATGGGGTTTAGTGGGTTTAATACCTTAACAGGCCTTTATGACTGCTGTGCAGTGGCACAATAACTGGTAAACATCTGTTTTACGTCATATTTGTTTCTACATTGTGTATTTTAACTTAAATATTTTATTAATCAATCAGCTTCACTTCCTCACAATTCCATGTTCTCCTTGTGTCTATAGTGAGGCTCAGCAGTTTGTGGATAAAAAAGGTGCTTTGGGCAAAGGGAAAGGCAGGAAACTGTATGCCTACAAAGCATGATGATGAAGGTAGGAATATGAAAATCTTCAATTTACTTTATATTTGTGGATTTTGTTGAAGTAAGCATCACTATTACTGTTGCTGAAAATAAAACAATCCTATTTTAAGAAAGATCCAAGCTAAATACAGAGATCAGAATGTCATAGAGAAACTTTGCTGTGGACTCTTTTGACTAGAACCAGTATGCAACCACTTGGCAATGCCTTAGCAATCACGCGGAACTCCGTATAGCAAAAATATATCAATGGGTTAAAACACTATTTAGATACCTTAGAAAACATATTATCCACCACAACATCCAAGCTTCATGAAGCAACATTTGCATAGGCAGATGCCACTAACAGGTTCTTGAAAAAATTAAAAAATCTATTTAAGTGCAGCTTCCTATTCTTTCCTATATGCTTTGTGTCTTATCATACAGAAATGGATAAAGTTTCAAAGAGATTTTGCAAATTTTAGGACAGCTTGCATTCCATGGGAGTGGAAAATAAAGGAAGTTGAGAGTAAGTACTAATGATTTTTCCCCCCAGAGGAATGCTGCATATCACTTCAGATGTCTTACTGATGACAGTAAATTATTTCTTTCACCTGTACTGAATTAGAAATGAAACCATATTTATTTACTTGTTGCAGAATGTTTCCTGCAAGTGACCAACAAAGAGGTATTCGCATGTTCCTTATTCTGAGCCCTGGTGATGTTTCATCCATTTGCAGGTCACTTTGGCTCCTCAGTTGCTTCATACTTTATTTTCCTCCGCTGGATGTACGGCATGAACTTGGTCCTCTTCAGCTTGACCTTTGGCCTGGTTGTGATACCAGAGGTCAGTGTATACCTATACTGTACCTATATACATTAATAATAAAATTACATCTTTTGCTTTACAGTAAAGGGAGCAGTAAAGTATCTTTTTACTTTAATTGCACCCTTAAAGAAATACACTCTAAAAAATGCTGGGTTAAATACAACCCAGTGCTGCGTAAAATATGGACAAACCCAGTTACTGCCCAGAAGGTTGGGTTAAACATTTAACCCAACTGTTGGTTGAAAACAACCCAATCGCTGGGTTTGTCCATATTTTACCCAGGCTGGGTTTTATTTAACCCAGCATTTTTTAAAGTGAAATTTACTTAAATTTAGGCCATATGTAGATGAGGAAACATTTAGCATTACATCACTTGCTCACCAATGGATCCTCTGCAGTAAATGGGTGCTGTCAGAATGCCGTCAGCTGATAAAAATCTCCGGAAATAGTCAGCACAACAGTCCATCTATTAACATCTAGTGAAGCAAATTTCTCTATCCATAATATTGCTTTATCCAGTGCTTGATCTCGTGTAAATCAGGTGAGAAATATGCACAGATCAAGCACAGTTTACACCTGAAAACAGTCCAAAACAATTCTAAACAAATATGTTGTGAGAGGACAATGGATGGACTTTTTCACTGGAGAAAGTGTTATCATGCTTTATGGACTTGTATGGTAATTGCCAGAAGCAACAGTGTAAAGTTTTTTGGGTGAATTATTCATTTAACAAATGATTTTCCACAAGGTTGTCATTGGGGCTTCCATATGGATCCATTCCTCGGAAAACTGTGCAGAGAGAAGAGCAAGACACTGCTATGGACTATTCTGTTCTCATGTATTTCAATTTAAGATCATGATACATGCATTATACAGAGGTCTGAGACCACTAGTGAAAACATTTGCATTTTTAAAATTCAATTTTCTAGATTTGATAACAATTTGAGTTAAAGGTGAATTGAAAAAAAGAACATGAATTTTAGAATATCTTAGTACAGTATTTTTATGTTACCTTTTTGACAGCACCACCCTGAAAAAAAATGGTAACCCTTTAGAACAGGGAACACAAATTCACTATTAATTAAAAGTTTTCCCTCTGTAACCCCCAAATTTGCTGCTTATTAATAGTTAATAAGGTAGTTGCTAAGTTTAGGTATGGGGTTAAGGCATCTAAAATATGCTCATGCAAAATATGTCATTAATATATGCATTATAAGTACTAATAACAAACCAATATGCTAGTAATACACATGCTAATAAGCAACTAGTTAATAGTGGGAAATGGTCCTTAAAGTGTTACCAAAAATGTAAAACCTTTTTGTCAATTTTTAATTAGTTCACTTACTATAAATAAAGACTTTGAAAGCTTTGAAGCTTTTTAAAACGTTGAAAGACCTTAATGTTACGGTGATGTTGTTTTAAAATATGCAGCATATTTTCTGTTACACATGTATATATTAAAGAAAGAAAAATTACCAGAAAAATTAATAGGTTACTTCAAAAAAATGTGCAGAATCTGAAATATTTCATTTAGTTTAGAATAAATTATTTTACATGTTAAATTCCAAGTTTAAATTAAATTTAAAACCCCATATTTTTAAAACAGTCTTAGATTTTTGTATCCTCTGTACATATTTTCCTTGAAAAATGTGTGATGAAATTAGAGAATTGCATAGTTTGTTTCACGTTTCTTGTTATTATAATATAAATACATTGTTATCAATAACACTCTCTGATGCCTTCTCGTTGACAGGGTTACTGCAAGTACTCGGTACTTTTCTATGGCTACTATAATAACCAGTGAACCATTGGCTTCCTGAAGTTTCGTCTCCCTCTGTCTTACCTCCTGGTGGGCATTGGGACCTTCGGGTATAGCCTCATGGTTGTGATCAGAACGTGAGTCCCTTTTTCATTCTTTGCTAGATGTTGTAGCAATGACATGAAATGTTCTTGAGAAGTACATGTGACAGTGAATATCTACATTATTAGTTCTTACTGGATGACAAAAGGTTGTACAGGTACAATGCAGTGTTTTGCCTTACATCTAAGATGGTAAAAAGATGAATTGTGTTGTCATATTAGACAGCTTTGGGACCTTCGGGTATAGCCATATGGTTGTGATCAGAACGTGAGTCCCTTTTTCATTCTTTGCTAGATGTTGTAGCAATGACATGAAATGTTCTTGAGAAGTACATGTGACTGTGAATATCTATGCCCACAAAAAGTGCCTTTGAAAGAGTATAATTGTTGTTAGTTCTTACTGAATAACAGAAGGTTGTACAGGTAGAATAGAGTTTATTGTCTTTGATCCAAGATGGTTAAAAGATGAACTGTATAGTCATATTAGATAGCTATGACAGGGGGAAAAAACATCCAACCTAAAGGTAAAGGGGTTAATTTTGGCACTAGTGTAATAATAATAATAATTAGTTCCCTTTCAGTCGGTCACTCTCGACGTCACGTCGGATGACCGACGAATGCCGAATGCAGGATGGCCGGATTCCTAAGGACATCATGTATGGCGAGCTCGCCTCCGGCACCAAACCAACAGGCAGACCAGTGCTCCGGTACAAAGACGTCTGCAAGCGTGACCTGAAACCCGGAAGCCTGAATCCTGCAGACTTGGAAGCTGTTACCGCAGACCGTGTCGGCTGGCGGCTCGCCATAAGGACCAGCACAAAGCTGAGCGAGGGAAAGACAGAGGACCAGTGGGAGGAGAAAAGGCAGCGCAGACGGCAGAGAGCAGAGTCAGTGCCCACAGAAGCAGTCTCAGGCTTCACCTGTAGTAACTGCAACAGACTCTGCCGCTCTCGTATTGGACTGTTTAGCCACAGCTGGCACTGCAATTCCACAACAGACTGACCCGGGCGCAGATACTCCATTGTCTCTCGAGACAGAAGGATGCCGATTGATATGTATATCTGCAAACTGATTTATGTTCGCCACATACATTTGAAAAAAAGTCTTCAGATTCAAAGAGTGACATTTAGTATTAATATCCTATAACAGGAACAAGCTTACGAGTTTTGTCAGAGAAATATGAAGGCACCTAAGAGTAAAATATAGTAATGTAATTGTGAGATTTAAAAAGTTGTAATTACAAGTAAAATCAAAATTCAAAATTGTGTGATATAAAATTGCAATTACAGAAATTTTTTTTTGTCACTTTTGTTAGAAACAGTCACAATCATGAGGAGTACAGTGAAAATTGTGAGGTATAAAATCGAAAGTTAGAATTACAAAAAATAAATACATATTTGTGAGATATAAAGTTACACACATTTATGTCATGATAACTTTGAGAACCGCTGACTCAAAAGACACATTAACCATATTAGCCTCAAGTCCATTTCTCTACTAATAAGGATTCAAAGGTTTGTCACAATCATGAGGAGTACAGTGAAAATTGTGAGGTATAAAATCGTAAGTTAGAATTACAAAAAATAAATACATATTTGTGAGATATAAAGTTACACACATTTATGTCATGATAACTTTGAGAACCGCTGACTCAAAAGACACATTAACCATATTAGCCTCAAGTCCATTTCTCTACTAATAAGGATTCAAAGGTTTGCATGCCAACTTCCAAACTCATGACATTGGTCAAGCCAGAGGTTGAGGTGTTGCTCAAATAATGAATTTTAAATAGGCCAGGAGACATTTTAATGTGAAAAACAATAAACACTTCACCTTTAAATACAAAACCTTTTCTTCAGTTATTCAAAAAATGCATTCACCACAGCATTATTGTATTATAGTATGTTGCCAACATGATTGTGTTAGTTTGACTGCAATTAGAAATTGTGCGTCTGTTATCCTGCCGGTGAGAATGGATTCTCTACAAGTGTTTTATAAAGTCCACTCTCGCTGTTAGGATGGCTAAAAACGCAGGTGTGGGGGGAGGGGATGGAGAAGACAATGAGTTCACCTTTGCCTGGAAGATGTTCACTAGCTGGGATTATCTTATTGGAAAAGCTGAGACAGCCGACAATAAATACGCCTCCATCACCACCAGCTTTAAAGTATCTGATTGTGTGTATACGTGGAAGTGCTTGGATAGGTGTTGATGTGTGTGTGCTGACCACTGCAGTTTTGTTTCATGGTCCGGTTGTCATTTTAGAGACCTGAGGAGGTCAACTCTCTGTAAGACCACATATCTGCCACTGGTTTGATAAATCCTCTGGCCAGATCAATTGATATGGTTTACATAAATGTTCATACATGTTCTGTAGCTCCAAAATGCTCATTCATGAGTTTTTCTCAGTTTAGAAACTCTAATGCTGTCTGCAGGAGTCCATTGTAGATGAGCAGGATAACATTCATCTATGGAGATTCCTACGTGTTCTAGCCAACTTTCTCATCACCTGTACCCTGGGAGGAAGTGGCTATCTCATTTCTGGAGGAGGTTGTGTTTGCAGAACGATGTATGTTATAATACATCGTGTACACTCACTAAACAAGTGAGAGTGGAGAGATTCGTCCTCACGCGAGCCTATCGCAAGACATCTGGTAGGGGGGGCACCTGGGGTGGCCAGCCAAATTTCAGGGGGGGCCGGTGCCACCCCTGGCCACCACGTAGACACGCCCCTGATCTGGAAGCTGGCTGGGTGAGTCCAATACATAAGCTCATCACCAACAATCTATACTGTTTTGATAAATAACAGCCATTTTCATTCTCAGCCCTCTCAGCCAAATGGTGAGTTTGACATAAGCGGCAACGTGCTTGGTTTGGTGTTTAACCAAGGAATGATCTGGTAGGAACAAATGTACAAACCACGCAACATAAAAAGTAAGCAATGGCATCAATCATAAAGGAAAAACTTATAGGTTAGTTCAGGGGTCAGGAACCTTTTTTGACCAAAGAGTCAATTATTCAACTAACCATCAAAAATTGTGCAGGGCTTTTACTGTGATGTTGATTTACAAGGGGTTTACAATGTTGAAAATATCAAGCATGTCCCGCTCTTTACTGTCTCATTCATTCACGTTTCTTTATTAATAACGCTAACAGTCCCTCCTGCTGAAAGCTGCGCAGAAAAAAGCGGAAGTAACCGGCGAAATGTTTCATACTGGCTCTTGGCACAGGAGAACACCATCTTCTATAAAACAAAGTATATTACCATGCAGTGGAAAAGCGCCAATAGACACGTCAGTGGTTTGCTGTCGTGCCTCTCGCGAACAGCACTGAACGCGCACTTTGGCCAGTACAAAAAATTTATTATTATTTTAAACATTTTATCAGCTTATGGGGTCTCTACAATAAAGGAACTGCTGATCTTTAGTGATGTATAGTTTTTGTAATAGATCATTTGTTGGTAAAGGGTGAGAGATCCTGCGAGCCACATGATTTTTGTCAAAGAGCCAGCTGTGACAGGTTCATAACCGGGCTTCTTAACGAAAGCAGAGCTGGGAGAGAGGTCGGAGACGGTCACCCTGACAGGACAGTCAGAGAGTTCACAAACGGCCTCCTTGGCCGTGGTTGGACAGACAGAGAGTTCATAAACAGCCTCCTTGGCCGTAACTGGACAGGCAGAGTTCACAGATGGCCTCCTTGGCCGTGACAGGACAGGCTAAGAGTTCAAAGGCAGACGCCGCTGCCTCTGGAGGTTCTGCAGCACAAGCCGCCAACTCAAGAAGAGCTGGAGTGGGCGTTGCCACTTTGGGAGGTTCTGCAGCGAATACCGCCACCTCTGGAGGTTCTGCAGCGAATGCCGCCCCCTCTGGAGGTTCTGCAGCGGAAGTTGCCACTTCTGGGGGAGCTGGAGCGGACTCGGGGACCAGAGTAAGCGTGGAGATCTGGGATCCTTCAACTCTGGTGCAGCTGGAGGCTGACTGTCCCGAGGCGAATCCTGACCGCTAACCACCCTCGAAGGATGACCTGAGGGACAGACAGAAAACAGCGGAGACAGAACAAAGAACATGACAGGCAGAGGAGGAGGGAGAGGGAGGTTGGGTGGGACAACAGGTTCATAACCGGGCTTCTTAACGAAAGCAGAGCTGGGAGAGAGGTCGGAGACGGTCACCCTGACAGGACAGTCAGAGAGTTCACAAACGGCCTCCTTGGCCGTGGCTGGACAGACAGATTGTTCACAGATGGCCTCCTTGGCCGTGACAGGACAGGCTAAAAGTTCAAAGGCAGACGCCGCTGCCTCTGGAGGTTCTGCAGCACAAGCCAACACCTCGAGAAGAGCTGAAGCGGGCGCAGCCGCTTCGGGAGGTTCTGCAGTGAATGCCACCACCTCTGGAGGTTCTGCAGCGGAAGTTGCCACTTCTGGGGGAGCTGGAGCAGACTCTGGGACCAGAGTAAGCTCGGGAGTGGATTCGGGGACAGGATCAGACTCGGGAATTGATTCGGAGACTAGAGCGTACTCTTGATCAGACTCATAGGCCGGAGCGGACTCATGGACAGGAGCAGGCTTGTGAGCAGACTCAGGGACTGGAGCGGGCTCAGGAGGAGTAATTGAGCAGTAAGTAGCCCAAACGCACAGGATAGCGACCCTCATTATGGGGAGCACTGAGACTAGAGGAATAGTTTCTGGGCTGGCGGACATTTTATGATAAGTCTTTGGGATGGTAGCCATTTTGCAAAGAGTCTCTGTGTTGGCAGCCATTTTATGATCAGTCTCTGCTTCCAGACGCTCCACTATCAGTCCATGGTGGAGTTGACAGAGGGAGGAACCATGAAGGGGGTGACACTGGAGGTATCAGGGGTCCAACTGATGGAGACGGTGGAAGGGGAGCCCAAAGCGGAGACGGAGAGCCGGAGTGACACTGGGGGATCAGAGGGCCATGGTGGAGTCGACGGCTCTGGCGACCGAGGCGCAGGTGGGGATCCAGAAGGCCGCAGTGGAGCCGGAGCGACCGAGGACCAAGGTGGAGCCGGAGGGAGAGAGGAGCCCAACGGAGCCGGAGGGACGAGGCAAAGCCGGAGGAGTGCAGTCCTGAGGTGGAGGTAGGGGGACGACTGACCAAGGCGGAGCCGGAGGGACGAGGGAGCCCAGCGGAGTTGGTGGACTGACGGGCCACGGTGGAGATGAGAGACCCAGGAGCCATGGTGGAGCCGGTGGGTCGACGGGCCGAGGTTGAGTTTGGGACTCAGAGGCTAGAGGCGGAGACAAGGGATCCTCCAGCCACAACGCCGATGGAGACTGGCAGGATGCAGCGGCAGAGGGGCAGAAAATGGCAGACGACTGATCTGAGGAGGTGGGAGAGGGAGGCTGGGTGGGAGTTCAGGATAATCGGGGGGTTCAGGGATGGTGTGTGCTGTCCACACACACCAGATGGCAACTCCCAGCACCGGGAGCGCCAGGGACAGGGGAATCACCTCCATGATCGTAATAGAACAGACTGACAGTTCAGGGCAGACAAACAGTTCATAAATGGCCTCCTTGGCCATAACTGGACAAGCAGAGAGTTCAGAAGAAGACGGGAGAAGAGGAGGCGTGTCCACATACAAGTTCAGCTCACCCTCAACAGTGGGCGAGGCTTTCCTCCTCACCCTCACTCTCCATTGTGTAATCCTCTGAGGCAGGCTTCATTGCCGACTTACACACCTGGTCAGACGAATGGGGCTCTGGCTCCGGGGCGATCCTCAGCTCTGTCGTTCCTTTTAGTGATGGCTCGTTGGTCGCGGTGGGCTGTAGTTCTCCATCTGCGGTGGGCTCTGGCTGTTGCTCCGCACAGCGGGGTGATGGTTGGCTGGGCTCTGGGTCCGGAGTGGGGCTGACGAGATCCTCATCAGTGTAGTAAGCAGTCAGCAGTGAGTTACAGCTCGCCAGCACCCACTCCACGAAGGCGGTGAGGCTTTCTCGAGGACCGTCCCCGGACAACTGTGTTTAATCCCACTCGATAGAACGTGGTGAGGCAGTCGTCCAGTTAGTGTGTGTTAAGTTAGCGAGGTTCACAAAGTCTCTCATGTGATTCTCGAGAGAGTGATCCCCCTGCTCCAAAAGGAGGATGAGGACGGCAGGATTGTCCATAAAATAAAAAATAAAAACGTGCAGAAACACGCCGCCTACATGTTTTGTGGCCGGTTATTCTGAAGAGAGGTACATCCAAACATAAGCAAATCAACATCAATAAACGGCAACCATGAACAGAAAGGGAGCAACTTAAATACACAGACCAAATGAGGATAATTAACAAGACACAGGTGAACAGACTAAAGTAATCAAGGGGAAACAGAAATTAGATAAAAGGAACAAAACTAAACAGGAGAACAGGAAACGAAAGAAAAACAAAAGTCCATAATCGTGACAGCCAGGACTGGCAAGAAATACCTTAGAATATACGTACAAAAGAAAGTTTAAAAAAGCTGCTTAACCAACTGAAGTAGAGGTTGCAGCCGTTTTTTTCCTTCTATAGTAAATGTTGCACCTTTTCTTCAATTGAGAAAAAAATACCTTAGAGTCATGAACACGGCATGTACTTCCAGTAGGTTAATATGTTCTGTGGTCTGAGTCAAAGTCCAGCAACCACAAATACCTCTTTGTGTTATTGTGTTGTTGTTTTTGTGATAAAAATAACACTATTAACCATACATTTGTTTCATTCTGAGCTATAAATAGATATTGTTCAGATGATATTGAACTGTTAGTAACTGTCAGCAATGCATTGCACTCCGGTTTAACTTATTTCAAAATTCATGTAATTTGCAAAACATTTATAGTGCCCTCTCGCGAGGCTCTCACAGGCTCCAGATAGAGATAGTGACATAAACCATAAGTTTGTCCAAAGTGCATGAAAAGCCCATTTTAAATGTAATAATTTTGTTTCCTTCATAGTTTACATATATACAAATATGCCTTGTATTGCTGTAATTACTAGATGACAACCCAGACTCAGAGCTTTCACGTCCTCAGACTCAGAATTATGCATTTCTAGGGTTGTACAATTAACACCAAAATTAATCTGTGAAATTTGAGAAATTAACGGACAAAACCGTTACAATAACAGTTGTTATGTAAATGCCTTCATAATAAACTTAAAGATGCAGTAGGAGATCTTGGAAAATGCTAACTTTAGTCTGATAGCACTGAAAGCGAACGTCCCACCCTCCCTGCAATCACTGTCCAAAGCCATGCCCCCTGAACGCATATACGCTCACTCACAGACCAGAATACCAGAGACAACATTACTACAATAGGCTACATCAGCGGTTCCCAATTCCAGCCCATGTTCCGAAGTTAAATGAACTTCAACGGATTTCCCCTGCTCAGGGAGTAGGGAGCAATGAACACTGTGTTATCATATCGATCGGAACACAGTTCATGCATGTAGCTCTCTTCTAATGAGCTGGTTATCTGAATCGGGTGTGTTAACTAAGCGATACATGCAAAATACATGCGCAAGGACTGGGATTGGGAACCGCAGGGCTGCCTACATCATGTGTCATTCACCGGTGAGAAAACTTTAAAAGTACTACAATACCAGGAAGGAAGATCGGGTTGTTGATGTTTGTCTGCCATTCTCGCTCTGTCTGCACA